CAATATAAATTCCAGGTTTCGAAAAGTAAATTTTGATGTTTCCGCCATATAAATAAGTGGTATTCGTCTAGGTGGCTAATTTGTAATCTGTATTCAAAAAGCGGACAAATTAGTTGTTTAGTGGCGTTGAGAATGTCGGTTGGCCTAGTGGGCAGTGATGCGGATCGAGTGGAAGCCATCCAGGAGATTACCAGCTCGATCGATTCGCTGATCAAGCTATCGGATGGAATATTTCGACGATTAACAGATCGTTTGGATTCATTCAATCAAAAGGTCTCCACAATCGATGAGCATATCAATCGAGTTAGCAAAAAAGTGGATGCAATCAGGAATGTACGTTCGTTTTCTGTTTTATTTTCTCTTAAATATGGTTTGTTTATTTTTGTCTGCTGAAAATTGATTTTGTCAATTTTGTCGTAATTGTAATTCGAGTAATTTAATTGATTTAATGTGAATATAATTTCCTTCTTGTTAGCGCAATTGCAATAAGCTTTTATAAGTTTACGTATCGTTACGATAGAGACGATAACGTATATGTTATGGTCTAGTTCAACCCTAACAGAAATATTTTTAATTAGCAGTATTTTAATTTCAGTCGGATAAATCAATCGTGCTCTATTCACCTGCACGATTTCCATGTGATGATCAACCCGAAACCTTCGCTGTTTTCGACTCGATACGAGGTCTTCCACATCATCAGTTTGGCAAGGATGATGGTGTTGTGAGTGGATCAGTCAGCTCTAATCAGAATAAATCAGCATCGATCAAAGAAACGATTGAAGAGAAAACAAAATTCTACCATGTGAACAGCTCGAGAAACCGGAAGAGTTTCAAATTTGGTTGGTATCGTGTTTGATTTTATATGTTATTTTAATTGCATTATCTGCATTCGTTTAATTTCTCGTCTCTTTCATCAAGCTATTGCAATATCGGTTCGAGAAGTGATCTGAGCAAGATTGCAAGAATGAATTCAGTAAATTTAAAACTGTTTTCCAGATAGCGCAATACCGGAATATGTGACGAGCGTAGACGATTTACTGCTTTTCAATACGTCACTGAATGCGTACACAACAGATCAGTACGTAGACCCGTTGGATAACTCTCGAATGAAAGTATGAGTTTGTATTGTTGTTGGCCATAGTAGGCGGTGGTTGGGAATTTATTTCATTTCATTTCAAAACTGAATAGGACATTTTCAGCAAAGAGCGAAAATAATTCACTTGAGAAATTCTGTTAGTGTTTCTTTTGTGAGTGTTTTTGAAGAGTATCATTTGTTTGGTATATCAAATTAGCAAACTTTCAGGTGCGTTCCTCATCAAGGGCAGACTTGAATGCTATCAGAAAACTCGAAACAGTCGCTGATGAGAATTCGACGTTGGCAGTGAATGTGAAGGATCGCGATGATCCATTGAAATATGAACCTGAACTCGGTTCATTGCAAGACTTTGATTTTCCCGATATTCTTCCGGATCTGCCCGGTATCCATTCCGTTTCTTTTTTATATTATTTCGCAGTTTATTACATTAGATTGATTGGAATCTCACGAAAATTTCCTGGTTAGTTGAAGAAGAGTTATTGAGCAATCAGTGGATATGTGATGTGTTTGTTTCACTCGCAAAATTTCAGGTATCGCAACTGATGTAACCTTCTCGAGCGTCGCATTTGCACCAATTGCTCCATCGGCGGTCGGAATGGATTTTGGTGGAGGAGAACCGGACTTGTTGAATGCTTTGGAACCGTCATCTGGAGTCTTAACCCAGCCCGAGAGCTTAGTGTCACGTCAACTAACAGCTCCGACAGTATCATCGAATAGTGACGATCAAGTGGTGAATAAAGTGGATTCAGAATCTGCGTTGAGTACTGCGCAAGAAGGTGGCACTGCAATACCGCCACCACCACCCCCTCCACCACCACAACGTATTATATTATATTTGTTTTTAAAAAATTGTTTATTGTTGGATTTTTGAAAGTTTTTGAAAATTATAGGAGTGGAATTGATTCATACAATGATTTAGTGAGAAATTGTTTAGTTGCTAGGGAGAATGTGCTGAAACTTTTGTGTTTCATTAGAATGTGATTAGATTTCGTTCGGAAT